GAACTTCTGGGTTCAACTTATCGCGTCTTGTCTGGACGCGATAAGTCGAACCCGGAAGTGCTCGCCGTCGACTGCGGTACTCCAGCTAGATGAGAGGAGTACCGCGGAGTCGACGGGGGAGCCTGCCTGAAACGTGTGGACCGAGGTAAGATCGAACTAAGGTACTTCGAACTTCAGCTACGTTATTCACGTAGCTGAAGTTGCGTACCTTAGTTCGAATTGGGGGGTTAGTGTAGACCAAGCCTTTATGTAAGTGGAGGACTAATACATTCTCACTCCTGGCCACTTCCTACAAACTCTTTATGTGGTTGCACCATTGATTCTAGGCCACTCTATGCAAGCACTTATTATTTTCTCTGGGTTTTTTTTTTCTTTTTGGCTGAAAATTCTGGCCCTTCTCAATCTGAAGGTGATTATTATAAAAATGCAAAGATAATCTTTTGAGCTATTTTGAGCTATCAGTACATGCAAAACACAGTACATTACTTCTTTGTGGCATCTCTGCATACTTCCACTAATGCCTCAGTGATTCTGAACCTTCTATAAAGCCATGACAGCACTGAACACTTGGGGATAGATTCACAAAATGACATAGGCACCTAACTGCCACTTTAGTGCATAAATCCCAGCACCAGGCCTCACTGGGATTCACAAAACCTGCTCAGCTGCTGCCAAACCTTGTAGGCACCTAAACTTGCTTGGATTTTTGCAGTAAAAGTTCTCTAGGCCCCTATGTTGTTGCGTACTGCAGTCCCATGCCAGGTGTCTGGATGCCTAAGCCACAGTACAATGCATGAACCAGGAGAAGCTAGGCATTCCTGCACCGAACTTGCCTGCAGGGATCAATCCAGTAAATGTGTTCAGAGCTCACCTACCGGATCAGGCTCCTATAGGTGGGCTTACACAACATGATGGGGGAGGGGGAGAGAGGGAGGACTGCTCTTATAACTTTTAGCCTAGTGGTTGTTAGTCACCTGGGATATGTCAGACCCACAGTTCCAGTCTTCCCCCTCCCCACCACATATGGGATCAGCAGAAGAGATTTGAACTGTGATCTGCCATAGGCCACTGGGCTTTGGGATACTCTGATGTGGGGCTCCTTCATTCTCTCCTTTTCAAGCTATCCCACTGTGGATAAATAATCTTTAAAAGTTGTTTGGCGCAGATGGAGTGGATCCTAGCTCTTCTGCCTCCGTGGTGAGTGCTCTAACCACCAGGCTATAGTGTCATTCTCATGCTCTCTCGCTCTCTCTCTGGCCCAATGATTCTTTAATTATTTATCCTAAGTATAACAGGTTGAAAGGGACAGACTGTGGGAGCCCCACACATCAGAATCCCAGTTCAAATCCCTTCTCCCCATCAAGTGGAGGGGGACTTGAACTGGGGGTCTCCCACATCCCAGCTGAGTACCCTAACCACGGCGCTAAAAGTTATGAGGGACAGTCTCCACTCCCAGCTTCTTGCTCAAATGGCATAGGTGCCTAACACAAAGAGAGGGTTTGCAGCTGAGAATCCCAAGCAGAGGGAGGTACCTCCCTGTAGCCCAATTTTAGGCACCTATCTCCAAGAGAGAGGCAGGGCTTAGCACAAGCCCCCTCAGCTTGGCATCTCCCACTGGCTATTTTAAGTGAGGAACCGCCCAACAATGCTGCCTTTTGTGAATCCCATTCTGAGGTGCCTCTCTCTCCCCATTCGTTGTGCAGAGAACCTAGGTGCTGAACTCAGGCTTTGTGAATTCCAGTGATTTTCTAGGCACCTAAAAGTTATACATGGCAACAGTCAGCATCATCCCACCTAAGTGCCTCTGTGAATCTTGCCTTTGGTGTCTTAGACCGTTATTAGGAAGGTGTGAGCTGCACCTGCCTCAATTCCTTTTTGACTATGGTCTGTTATGGATGTGAGGAATCTCACTGTTGTGCCAGGTCTGCCTGACTGTTGGATGTTCTTTTTAAAAACCCCTTCTTATAGTTTTGTCTATGTGAACATTTAGTGTGCGGGAAGCTGGGGTGTGAATCTACAGCACACAAGCGTGCTGTGCACTAAATGGCCACGTGGACCCTCCTACCACATACTAACAGTTCCCTAGTGTGCACTGGAGTACAGTAGGGAACTTTTAATGCATGGTAGCAGGGTCCACCTGGACCCTAATTGCATGGCATGCTAGTGTGCTGTAGATTTACACTTCAGCTTACTGCGCAATAACTGTTTCTGTAGATAAGCCCTTAGTATCTGTTAGTCTTAGCTAGCTAAATATATATATAACCAAATCATTCCCTTTTCAGTTAAAAATCTAATATTTCATTTTACCTCAGTGCATTCTCTCACTTTGCTTGGGTCAGTGCTGACAATGGCAGACCTGAAGAAGAGTTTCAAGAGGTGTGCCTGCAGTTCAGGGATATTCCTGAAATACGATGCACGCACATGCTACCTCTTTTGTCTGGAGGAAACTCACCTCCCAAGAGATGTAAAGTCTGATAGGTTTTTATTCCTCAAGCCCTTTGAGTAAGGCTGTCAGAGAGAGCAGTGGATTCTGGCTGGCACACCATGAATGGCCCACAATGGCTGTCTTCAACTTTCAACTTCTCCACCACTAGGCTCCTGAAGCCAATCTTGACTCTGCCTAATAAGGACTCCACTACAATGTCTAAATAGAAGCCAGACAGGACATAGGAGTTAAAAGAGGACCACTTCAGTGCTGACAGCATTAAAACCACAATCTTCAGCTCCAGTCAGTCTCTTCCAGGTCTGAACAATCACAATTGAAGGAATCTTTTTTTTCAAGGCCCTCAAAGACCTTGGGGTCCCAGTGCCAGTATTTTGTTACCTAAGTCAGAAAATAGTTTTCACTCCAGTACCGATATCTGAAAGACACTGGAAAATTCTGGTGCTGATACCTTGATGTTATCTACATCCTGGGTGGTGTTGACATTTCAGGAGTGCCATAAGAAATGCCTTCACTGAACAGAATTGAATTTTTGATTTCATGTCGGATGCCAATTTTTTCTCTCTCTAGCTCCCTGGAAACATAGGAAGAAGAGCAAGTGTGCTGAAAAAGATCCCCCAGCATTAAGGGGAAAGCACCATAGAAAAAAGCAGTAGTAGTACTTATCTTGGAAGAGCACCAATTGGGCATTGACTCCTCTGGATCCAACTTCAACCTCTCCTCTCTGGTGCCAAAGACACCATCAGCATCTCCTGCTGATATAGTCTTTGCCTTACCAATGTTGTTTCCTTGGGCTCCTTTCCCAGATGTCTTCTCCTCTTCCAAGAAATCTCAGAAGAGGCAGACTTGGTTCATTCAGTTACCCTGATTCCTTCCTACTGCTAATTCCACCTCCCATTTTGGGATTTGTATGCCCCTGAAGACCATTTCTTCCCCTTCAATGAACATCAGACAGAAGGCCTAACCATCAGGGAAAACTATATAGGGAAGAGAACTCAGTCATGGGGAAGGAGACCCAGGGAAGAAGAGACCTGCTGAAGGCAGGATGGAGAAAACCACAGGGAGTAGGACAGGTTCCTGTGATAAGGCCTGTAAGAAGCATGGAGATCTCTGAGGGAAGAGCACAGAGTCCTTATGGAGGGGAGGCAGTGGGAAACCTGCTGGGAGGAAACAGCATAGAGGAACTCAGCAGGGCCCAGGAGTAAGGGCAAAGAGCACAAAACTTCAGTGTAGCCCAAGAGGGGCAGAAGAAATTGGTTTGGATATTTATTTGGATTTACAGTTGGACTTTTGTTACCCATGAACTTAGGAGGTGATCTGGCTGAAAAGCTGGGCCATGGAAGACCCAGACAGAGACAGGCCAGCATAGAGCCAAGGAAGTGGTCAACAGGGGGTGTTAGACGTGAAGTCCTGTGCAACACCATTCTCTGCTGCTAGAGGGGGACTGTGGCAGTGCGTGCAAACACTAACAGGCACCCAAAAAACAGATCTGTGAGGCAAAGGTTCTGTGTTTGGGATACACGCTTCTTGTCACTCCTCTTTCTCCCCAATTTTGATATGTATGTCAGGAGCAAAGAACCAACTCTATCACATTCCCCACTTCCAGCCTGGAAGGATATAACAGTGGACAAGTAGGTCCTAGATGCAGTAGAACTCGAGCTGGTCAGGATTTTTTTGGCTAAATGTGTTTTCATCAAGGTTTCTCAGTTCCAGGATTAAATTTCTGGTTAGAGAGAAACTCACCCCAGGTTCATGTCTCTGCATCTCCCACATCCCAGATGAGTGCCCTAATCACCAGGCTATAGAGTCTGTTTCTCACTCTCTCTTGCCCAGTGTTATTTAATTATTTATACAAATGGAACAGCTCCAACAGGAGAGACTGAGAGAGACCCACGCCAAAATAGCCTATGGCATGGTGCCTATGGCGCTCATTGGAGGGTGTGGTAGACGTATATTCAAGTCCCTTGCTCTGAAACTGGCAGAAGTGGAGATCTGAAAGGTGGCCAGCTGGAACTCAATACATATATTCACTCAACATTACTATAGTACTAGATTTAGCTTCACAGTTTGATGCCAGGTTTCGCAGAGCTGCTTTACCATCTTTTTTATTTGAGAATTCCTCAGCCCATCAGTCATCTCAGCTACACTGAGCTTACCAGCCACCAGTGAGTGGAATTATGCACAGGTTCCCTGAAGAAGAAAGAGAGATTACTTACCAGTAGCTGTAGTTCTTTGAGGGACATCTCTGAATATTCAAACTCCCTACTCAACTTCCCCTCTTCCTCAGTTTCCTATCCATTTTGGACTGTGAGCAGATGTGATTGAGGGTCACACCTCTCTTACATAACTTTGGGCCATGAACATTGGGGATGCAGTGGCAAAGTTTTTCAGAAGATTCTGGACCACCATGGTGCAGGTACTTTGTATCCCATGACTGTGGATATGCAGAGGTATTCCTCAAAGAACTACAGTTTCTGGCGAGTCTCCTCTCTTTACCTATAATTGTTGGAGTCCTTCTCTTCCTTCATCCTACAGTAGGATCATCCAGATCTGTAAGCATTATTCTATGAGGAAACAAGGAAGTCTAGTTTTAAGAAGGGTGAGGGAAGTAGGGTGCAGGGAAGAGTAAAACTGACAAAAATAGTGGTAAGTAATTGTCTCTTGTCCTTTCTCCCTTCCTTGTTGAACAATAAAGATATCCAGAACTGCAAGAGAATATTATAGGCAGTAGATAATATACATTGAATGACTGCTTGTAAAGAAAAATCCCCATTGTTTGAGAAAATCAGGTCCACATCAGAATGGGTTACAGAAGAGTGAGGACTGGCCCCGATAGCAACATTACAAATGCCCACAGCCATTGCTTCACCCCTTTGTGCCCAAAAGGTGGCTAAACTTCTTGTTCAATGTGACCCTGAAAGAGGTTGAGCGTTTTACTCATTCATTTGTGTGGAAGTGCTTGAATTTGATAGCCTACCTAATATTGACAGGATGTTAGTGCCTTGTCTTGATACACTGGGACCTGAAACTAAAACCTCATGAGCTTAATAGTTAATTAGACTCTGTTACTTGATGCCTTTAATGCATGTCAGTATTTAACTCTGCAGAGAGCCAATGAAAAAGTAGCTGATAGTAATATGTCTCCTTTGATCTCCTAGTGAGGATGTATTTATAATGTCTCCACAATAAAATATAAGATTATAAGAGACACTTATTTTCCTTGTAATCCCTTTTCTCTTTTGAATGTGAATAAAGTTTTGAAAGATTATTCATGTAAATATGGTTGTAACCAGTTTTGATTTCATTTCCTTACTTTGGAGGTCAAGACATCTTTATGACAGAAGAACAGAAGAAATACTACAATGCAATGAAAAAGCTGGGATCCAAGAAACCACAAAAACCTATACCTAGGCCAGGGGTAAGAATGATTTACTTTAATCTGTCCAGACTAAAAGGCCAATTTAAAAGAAAAGAAGAAATATTAGCTTATAAGCAGTTTATTTAGAGTTCACATTTGTATAAAGACTAGATATTTGATCTATAAAAAGCTCATGCACAAGTTGTCATTAAGGTAACCAAAAGTGAAAAATTTAAACACATTAAAGAAAGAAAGTACCTTCTCCCTCTGCTAACATATTTTTCTTTTTTTAATATGTAAAGAGGAAAAGATCCAGGAATCTGAACTCTATTGTATGCCCCTTTCCTGTGAATAATAATAATGATAATAAATCATTGCCATACTGTCTGCTTTCATTGTAACAGTTCTAAGAAGAAAAATCTGTCAGTTTACTCAGCAGTAAAGAACATGTATATATTAAGGCTGGGATTTTCAAAGAAGCATGAGGGATTTAGTTGCCCAAGTCCTATCAAAATTCAATTGGAGTTGGTTGTCTAAGTCTTTTAGGATCCTTTGAAAATCCTATTATGTTTTAACATGTTATAGGTGGAGCTTGTGGAAACACCTATAGTTAAAGTTACCTAACACTTCCCATTGTAATTCCCTAATTTCAATTGCTTATAACTTTGACAAACTTTTATCATTTGGGTTAAAAATTCTCATGCTTGCTCCTTACCTCAGGGTGATTTTTTCTGGAAAATGTCAGCAAAAACGTCCCATGCAATTTCCAGAGTTGGGGGGGAGGGACAAGAAGTTTTACCAACATTAAATAATTTGTCCAATAATTTTTTGGAAGAACTCTAATATTAGAAAGAATACTAAGGTTGCAAAGTCAACCACTCAAAAATTAAGACATGCCAGAATCAAAACTGCCAGAATCATGCAACCTTAATTCCCCTCCCCTTGTGGATATGCATTAGAACAGTCTTTCATTACATGATCACAATCTATTCTTTCTACATGACCCCTGCCTCATTCAGTGCACAGAACGGACAGTGAATGAGAGAGAGGGTATCAGAAAGTGAACGGATGTTTAAGGTTGTAAATTGGGACCCAGTAGAGCTGAACTCTTTCAGCTCTGCTTCAAGCTTGCTGTGTGATGCTGGACAAGACTATCACAACATGTACATGCAAGGGAGCTGAATTAAGCTCTAATATTTGTATTATTAATTTGACAAGGCTGCCCTTTTACTGAAGTTCTATACACTGTGTTATTAAGAGATTTTCTTACCTTCTTCCAGTATAATATAGAATAGAATAATAATTGTTAGGTGTGAATTGAATGGTTCTTTTTTCCCCCCTCCAGAACAAATTCCAAGGCATGGTATTTGATTTTGTGACAAAACAAGTATTTGATATTGGCATCATGATTCTTATCTGCCTTAACATGGTCACCATGATGGTAGAAACAGATGATCAGAGTGATGAGATGCAAACTATTTTACAGCGGATTAACCTGGTGTTTATTGTCCTTTTCACTGGAGAATGTGTTCTGAAACTGATTTCACTCCGTTATTACTACTTCACCATAGGGTGGAACATTTTTGATTTTGTGGTTGTCATTCTCTCCATAGTAGGTAAGAATTGTTTGTTAAATTAAAAAGAGGCTAAAATGAGTGGAAGATGAAAATTTACTTAAGGTGCTTCATGTTTGGCTTTTGCTATTACAATGCTTACAATTAAGTTGTTTAGCTTTTCATTTCCTGTAACTTTCTCTAGAGTAATCATCAAAATTCTTATATTCAGCCATCACCATAGTATCTGACTATATTAGGAATAATTTGTATGAGAGAATTGATAAGAACTTCTTCTATTGCCATTCTCAGTGTCAGAAATTACACATTATCCACTCTTGAACTATCAGATCTCTTTTACATAAGATATATTAAAAATTAAAGTAAAACCTATACAGTACATTTACTTGACATATAAAATGTTAGTAATCATATAAAACATGACTGAATGATTTGGAAGTCTTTGCAATCCTCCATCATTCTGATACTGTAGTACAGAAAGATTAAATTGCTGTAAAATATTTTCCCCTTACTTACTAGCTGTTTTGTTTTACAGGTATGTTTCTAGCAAAGGTGATCGAAAAATATTTTGTGTCCCCCACCTTGTTCAGAGTTATCCGACTCGCCAGAATAGGTCGAATCCTGCGTCTCATTAAGGGAGCTAAAGGGATCCGCACTCTGCTTTTTGCTTTGATGATGTCTCTTCCTGCTTTGTTTAACATTGGTCTCCTGCTTTTCCTGGTCATGTTTATCTATGCTATATTTGGAATGTCCAACTTTGCCTACGTTAAGAGGGAAGCAGGGATTGATGACATGTTCAACTTTGAAACTTTTGGCAACAGCATGATCTGCCTATTTCAGATTACCACGTCAGCTGGTTGGGATGGCTTGTTAGCACCAATTCTTAACAGTGGAGAACCAGACTGTGATCCTAATAAACCTCACCCAGGAAGCTCTGTTAAAGGAGACTGTGGTAACCCTTCAGTTGGGATTTTCTTTTTTGTCAGTTATATTATCATCTCATTTCTAGTTGTAGTAAACATGTATATTGCTGTTATTTTGGAGAACTTCAGTGTTGCTACAGAAGAAAGTGCCGAGCCCTTGAGCGAGGACGACTTTGAGATGTTCTATGAGGTTTGGGAAAAATATGATCCAGATGCAACCCAGTTCATGGAATTTGCAAAACTGTCTGATTTTGCAGCTGCACTCGATCCTCCTCTTCATTTACCAAAACCAAACAAAGTTCAGCTTATTGCAATGGATCTGCCCATGGTGAGTGGTGACAGAATTCACTGCCTTGACATCTTGTTTGCTTTTACAAAGCGTGTTTTGGGGGAAAGTGGAGAGATGGATGCACTTCGAATACAAATGGAAGACCGGTTTATGGCATCCAATCCTTCAAAATCCTCCTATGAACCAATTACAACCACATTAAAACGAAAACAAGAGGAGGCATCTGCTGTCATTATTCAGCATGCTTTCAGACGTTACCTTTTAAAACGAACAGTAAAACAGGCTTCATTTGCATACAACAAAAATAAAATCCAAGGAGGGATTGGTCAATGTATCAAAGATGAAATTCTTATTGACAAGTTAAATGAAAATTCATTTACAGAGAAAACAGACATGACCACCTCAACAGCAGTTTGTCCACCTTCCTATGATTGTGTAACAAAGCTAGTAAAAGAAAAACATGAAAAGGAAGACAAAGATGTCAGAAAGAAGGAAAAATAAAATGCAAGGAAACAATTCTGTTTGTCTGAAAAGTTGTTTACAGCCTGTGAAGGTGATGTGTTTGTGTCCACAGGACTCCTGTAGGAGGTCTATGCCAAACAGACAGTTTTTAAAAATATACTGTATACATAAGGTCAGTGCCTATAACAAGACAGTGACCCCTTGTCAGTAAATTGTGACTATAATATGGGGAAACAACCTTGACTGGAGGTTACCATTTTCACTACCAGCTGACACTGCTGAAGAGGAGAGAAAAAATGGCTACTCAGACTGTAGGGACCAGTTAAAGGGGTGAAAACCAATAAATTTTTGTGTGTTTAGCATAAAACAATACAGTAACTGTATCCACTGTTTGCATTTCAACTGCCACGTTTGTCATATTTTTACAAAATCTGTGTTGGTGGAGTCATCTTTTTTTTTAATCATATGTTGATTATATGTAACTATTTTTGTAAATGGGGTTTATGTTGGGGAAGGGTTAAGTATTACTTTACAGGTATGAGGACCAGGTGTTCTATAATATGACTCTCTAATATACACACAGAAATTATTTGCATGAAGGCATGCTGCACTTATAGATCATGCATGAAAAACATTGAGTCACAGAGAACAACAGATTTTTAACTACTCTGTGTTTCTGGGAGGGAGTAATAAATTCTGAGGTGCTTAATTAATGTATTCATGTTGTGTCACATCAGACGAGTCTTTATATGCCTGTAAAGTTCTCTATAATCCACAAGAACAGAACAGATGGATTATTTTTACACAGACCATTAAATCTCAGCAAGTGCAAACTTCATTGTAAGGTCTGGAGTCTAAGGTTTTATGTCTTTGTCAAATGGTTTTCTGTATAAAAATATTAAAAGAATCTGCCCTATAAAACAGAATTGACCAAAACGAACCCTTTATAAAATTGTTCTGCTTTATCCTGCAGTATTGTTTGGCCATCTTCAGCTCTCAGTAAGGTTGACATTGTATATGTTAATGAAAAGCCCTCTGTTATGTAAATAGTAATTTTACCCTGTGGTGCATGTTTGAGCAACCAAATAATGACATGAGCACATTTATTGCATCAAATATGTACCACAATAAGTGTAGTGTGCAAGCTTTCAACAGGTAAAAGTATGTATTCTCTACCATTATAGATAGTTTGGATGCTATCAATGCATGTTTATACTGCCTATGCTGCTGTTCTTTCAACAGTCCAGAATTCTTAATTATGGGAAACCATACATCAGAGGTAAAGAGAAACAAATTGTTCAACAAGACCTCATTTCTTCACATCATTAAGCAATAGTTTGCACCTAATTCAAGAGCTTTTTTGTTTTAAATTTTTAAATCTTAAGTGAAAACATATGGTGTATAGCAAAACTGTACAGATGTGTTGCAAACTGCTAAACCTGTTGAAAATAATGTGGTTAGAATTTTATAAGCAAATATAAATATTGTAAAAAAACCATTTTATTTTATTTTTCAGCATTATGTACATAATATAAGAAATGAATTTTATCTTCAGGTTGATGTCACAGCCATTTTTATTACTTTCTGACCACAGCACTTTTTCATGGAAGAACTTCAGAAAATAAGAAATGAAGACAAGAATGGGTAGTTGTAGGTTTCTGCTTTTTTACTATATTTGAAAACATTTCCATTTGAAATAATTTGATAATTTCTGCAAAAGAAGTGCACAATTTGCTTGATAACAAAAGGCTATATTTTTTGCTTTGGAAAAGGATGCAAAGTTTTGTTTGAATTTCTAGCAGTGCCTGCATCAGAATTTTAAAATATCCTTTTTCCTTCACAGAATCCTTTATCTTTTCCAGGGTTTATTTACATATATTCTTTTTGATTCATGCTGCATTAGAACTACTATTAATATAATCTGGGTCCACAATATTTTTTCACAAAAACGAAGTAGCAAAATTGTATAATCAAACACATCAGGACATTTTATGTTTCTTACACAGGAAAATTACATATAGACTTCTTTTATTAAAACTATTGACTTATACTGTATTAGTGAACTGCATGCAGGAAGATGCTATTACCCTAACTGATGCTAAACAACATTATTAATGCGCCAAAATAATAAAGATTACATTTTTTATTGTATTCCCTTGTCTGTTTTTATTAACTAAAATTAATATAAGATCAAAGTTATTATACTATAGTGCATAAGGATCTGATCCTGCATACCATTACAACCAGGTATAGTGCTTACTATCAGTCAGAAATCTATTGCTGTCACTGGGCTGTACCCCTTAAGTAGTACTGCCACTGATAATGTTCACAGGATCTTGTAATAAAATAGAGTAACAAAAATACAAAAGGGATATAATATTTGGTGGGAGGAAACAGATCTAATGTGAATAGGAACTTGATTAAGATTACAATGACAAAGTTATTTTTGTATAATACTCCACCTCTTTTATAACTTCACAGCTATTTTTTTCCCTTTCAAAGGGTCTGTTCCTGGCACCCTTACTCAAGCTGAGTAGCTCCAGAAATCAATGGAGTTACTTACATATTGCCAAAACATTCTCCCACCTCTGTGGGTATCTGCATGGGTGGGAGAGCAGCCTCCCTGGTGCTGCCACATCCCTATCCTGTGGCGTGTTGGTAGAGAATAGACTCAGCCTTGGCTTGATCTCACAAATGCATCAGCAAGCCCAACTGTACCACTACCATGTACCAGGTATAGACCTGTCTTAGGGTATGTCTACACTACAAAATTACTCCGATTTTACAGAAATCGATTTTTTGGGAACAGATTGTATAAAGTCGAGTGCATGCGTCCACACTAAGCACATTAATTCCGCGGTGTGCGTCCATAGTACCGTGGCAAGCGTTGACATTCCAAGCGGTGCACTGTGGTAGCTATCCCACAGTTCCCGCTGCTCATTGGAATTCTGGGTTGAGCTCCCAATGCCTGATGGGGCCGAAAATTTGTCGCGGGTGGTTATGGGTAAATGTTGTCAGTAAACCCTTCCTCCGTGAAAGCAACAGCAGACAATCATTTCGGGCCCTTTTCCCTGGATTGCCCGATCAGACGCCATAGCATGGCAAGCCTGGAGCCCATTCAGCTCACCGCAGTAGTTATGAGCATTGTAAACACCTCGCGCATTATCGTGCAGTTTATGCAGAACCAGAAGCTGAAAAACCAGGCAAGGAAGCGACGGCAGCATGGTGACGAGAGTGATGAGGACATGGACACAGACTTCTCTCAAAGTGCGGGCCCCGGCAATGTGGACATCATGGTGTTAATGGGGCAGGTTCATGCTGTGGAATGCCAATTCTGAGCCCGGGAAACAAGCACAGACTGGTGGGATCGCATAGTGTTGCAGGTCTGGGATGATTCCCAGTGGCTCCGAAACTTTCGCATGCTAAGGACACTTTCATGGAACTTTGTGACTTGCTTTCCCCTGCCCTGAACCGCAAGAATACCAAGATGAGAGCAGCCCTCACAGTTCACAAGCGAGTGGAGATAGCTCTCTGGAAGCTTGCAACGCCAGACAGCTACCAGTCAGTCAGGAATCAATTTGGAGTAGGCAAATCTAAAGTGGGGGTTGCTATCATGCAATTACTGAGCTGCTGCTATCAAAGGTAGTGACTCTGGGAAATGTGCAGGTCATAGTAGATGGCTTTGCTGCAACGGGATTCCCTAACTGTGGTGGGGCGATAGACGGAACCCATATCCCTATCTTGGGACTGGACCACCAAGGCAGCCAGTACATAAACCGCAAGGGGTACTTTTCAATGGTGCTGCAAGCACTGGTGGATCACAAGGGACATTTCACCAACATCAACGTGGGATGGCCGGGGAAGGTTCATGACGCTCACGTCTTCAGGAACTCTGGTCTGTTTAAATGGCTGCAGGAAGGGATTTACTTCCCAGACCAGAAAATAACTGTTGGGGATGTTGAGATGCCTATAGTTATCCTTGGGGACCCAGCCTACCCCTTAATGCCCTGGCTCATGAAGCCGTACACAGGCACCCTGAACAGTAGTAAGGAGCTGTTCAACTATAGGCTGAGCAGGTGCAAAATGGTGGTAGAGTGTGCATTTGGACGTTTGAAGGGTCGCTGGTGCAGTTTACTGACTCGCTCAGACCTCAGCAAAACCAATATCCCATTGTTATTGCTGCTTGCTGTGTGCTCCACAATCTCTGTGAGAGTAAGGGGGAGACGTTTATGGTGGGGTGAGAGGTTGAGGCAAATCGCCTGGCCACTGATTATGCGCAGCCAGACACCAGGGCAATTAGAAGAGCACATCAGGAGGCGCTGCACATCAGAGAAGCTTTGAAAACAAGTTTCATGACTGGCCAAGGTACCGTGTGACAGTTCTATTTGTTTCTCCTTGATGAAAACCTGCCCCCTTAGTTGACTCTAATTCCCTGTAAGCCAACCGCCCTCCCACCTTCGATCACAGCTTGGAAATAAAGTCACTATTGTTTAAAAACCATGTATTCTTTATTAATTGATTATAAAAATAGGGAGATACCTCACAAGGTAGCCCGGGTGGGGTGGGGGAGGAGGAAAGGAAAAGGCCACTTCAATTCTTGTTGAATGACAACCTTCTGTCCACTGGGGTGGAGTGGTTGGGTGCCCGGAGCCTCCGCCCCCGCGTTCTTGGGCGTCTGGGTGAGGAGGCAGCCATGGAACTTGGGGAGGAGGGAGGATGGTTAAACAGGGGCTGCAGTGGCAGTCTCTCCAGCTGACATTCCTGAACCTCCACCAGACGCGGGATCATGTCCGTTTGTTCCCGCAGTAGCCCCAGCGTTGCATCCTGCCTCCTCTGATCTTCCTGCCGCCACCTCTCCTCACGTTCACTGGCCACTTTCCTGTTCTGTGCTATTGCGTCCCTCCACACTTTCTGCTGAGCTCTTTCAGTGCGGGACGCCTGCATGAGCTCAGAGAACATTTCATCGCGTGTGCGTGTTTTTTTGCCGCCTTATCTGAGATAGCCTTTGGGACGGAGGAGGGAGGCTTGAAACATTTGCAGCTGCAGGAGGAAAAAAAGGGAGAGAAGATACATTTTACAGAACAATGGGTATACTCTTTCACGGTGAACAACACTATTCACATTACATAGTACATGTGATTTCAGTACAAGGTCATTTTTTGCATCTTATATTGAGTGCCTGAGGCTTTGGTGTTAGAGATCAAACACGCCAGGCAACAGAATTCAGCTTGCAGGCAGCCATGGTAAGCCATAGTCTTTCGGCTTCTGCAACCTTCATAACAGCAGCGCCCTCCTTTCCCATACCAAGCAAAACCCGTTGAGTTGTCCATTTAGGGCTGTGGTTTTTGTGTTAACGTGCAGCAGCAGAAACCAAACGAACCCCCTCCCCCCGCATCCTTTTCTCTGGGATGACCGCTTTAACCCTCCCCCCACCGCAACGTGTGGCTGGTATCAGGGAAGATCCCTGCTAGCCAAACGTGAACAGCTCAGCATGAAGCCCCCCCCCATCCTTTTCTCCGCGATGATCGCTTTAACCCTTCCCCAACCGTGTGGTTGGTATCAGGGAAGATCCCTGCTAGCCAAACGCGAACGGCTCAGCGCCAATGCCTTCGCCCCCCTCACTGCTTGGCTAACTGCGGGGAGGATTTCTTTTCAGCCACAGGCAAACAGCCCAGTAGGAACAGCCACCTATGAATGTCCCCTTAATTAAATTCCCGTATTTTAACCAGGTTACCATGAACGATATCACTCTCCTGAGGATAACACAGAGAGATAAAGAACGGATGTTGCTTGAATGCCAACAAACACCGGGACCATACGCTGCCAGGCTTTGTCATGCAATGATACCAGATTACTTGCTACTAGCATGGCGTGGTAAGGTGTTCTACCATGGAGGACGGACTAAGGCTGCTCTCCCCAGAAACCTTCTGCAAAGGCTTTTAGAGTACCTCCAGAAGAGCTTCATGGAGATGTCCCTGGAGGATTTCCGCTTCATCCCCAGACATGTGAACAGACTTTTCCAGTATCTGTACTGGTCACGAATGCACCCCAAGTCCTCAGGGCAAATTAATCATTAAAAAACGCTTGCTTTTAAACCATGTTTTATATTTACAAAGGTACACTCACCAGAGGTCCCTTCTACGGCTTCATGGTCTGGAATACCGCCTTGGGAGGGTATTTCAATCAGGGTAAGAAAAAGATCCTGGCTATCGGGGAGAATGGTGTGCTGTGTGCTCTCCTCAACCTCCTCCTCATCTTCCCCGCCCACAAAATCCTCAGACATGGCAACTGAGAGTACTCCATCATTGGAGTCCACGGCCAAGGGTGGGGTAGTGGTGGTGGCCCCCCCTAGAATTGCCTGCAGCTCAGCATAGAAGCAGCATGTCTGCGGCTCTGTCCCGGAGCGTCCGTTTGATTCTTTGGCTTTCTGGTACGCTTGTCTCAGCTCCTTAAATGTCACGTGGCACTGTGTTGAGTCCCTGTTGTGGCCTCTGTCCCTCATGGCCTTGGAGATTTTTTCAAATGTTTTGGCATTCCGTCTTTTGGAACGGAGTTCTGATAGCACGGATTCATCTCCCCATACAGTGATCAGATCCAGTACCTCCCGTACGGTCCATGCTGGAGCTCTTTTTCGATTCTGGGACTGCATGGTCACCTGTGCTGATGAGCTCTCCACGCTGGGCAAACAGGAAAGGAAATTCAAAAGTTTGCGGGGCTTTTCCTGTCTACCTGGCCAGTGCATCCAAGTTCAGATTGCTGTCCAGAGCAGTCACAATGGTGCACTGTGGGATAGCTCCCAGAGGCCAATACCGTCTAATTGCATCCACACTAAGCCTAATTCGAACTGGCAATGTCGATTTCAGCGCTACTCCCCTCGTCGGGGAGGAGTACAGAAATCGATTTTAAGAGCCCTTTATGTCGACAAAAATGGCTTTGTTGTGTGGATGGGTGCAGGGTTAATTCGATTTAACGCTGTTAAATTTGACCTAAACTCTTAGTGTAGACCAGGCCTTAGTGTACTTCACTACTGCCCTGAACAAGAAGGGAGCAATTGCATTTAATAATATGGTGGCAAAGAAGATTCTTATGGCACTCCACATGACAGCCCTCGGGGCAGAAGTGTGATTGCCCAACAATAACCTTTGGGATATCTCAGGAGTGATGCCCCTATAGTGTAGCCCAATCTACTATTTCCATGGACTATGGATGTGTCAGCCACCTTTCATAAGCCAGTATTGAAGACAGCTGATAGATCTGATAATGTCAGAATTCCTATTGATAAGGGTCAAGAAAGCTGGAAGCATCCAGCTACTCTGAGTACTCACCATAACATGTTCCATAATCCTGACCAAAAAGTAGAAAATTAGCTACTGGTTGATAGTTGCATAGACTATCAGCATCAAGAGACGCATTTAGGAGCAGAAGCCAAGGACATGCTTCCTTTAAACTACAGTAAAAGCAATTGAGAGCTAGCCATCCCTAAAGGGGGTATTGACACTATCCACCAGTAAAGGACCTCGTACTTTCTTTCTAGCCTTCATCCAGTGGGAATGACAAGGATCCAATGCACAGATTGACAAGAAGTTTTTCTTCTAAAACAGCCAGAATCTTTGTAAGTGACACCACCTGGAACTAAAGCAGAGATGATCTAGCATTTATTCATTCCACATAGTGTCCTGCCTCCAGGGACAGAACACAGCTCATTTCTAATCTGATTAATTTTATCATATTTTAAGGTATAACACAACCCAATGGCTGGAAGCTGAAGTTGGGCAAAGTGAGACTGAATAATAAGGTGCAGATTTTTGACAGTGAGGATAATTAACCATTGAACAATTTACTAAGGGTTGTGGTGGATTCTCCATCACTGACAGTTTTTGAAATCAAGACTGGATGTTTTTCGGGAAGTTCTATGGCCTGTGGTATACAGGAGGTCAGACTAGATTATCACAATGGTCCCTATGGCCTTGGAATCTATTAATTTGTGAATCAGAAATTTCCTCACAACACAATCATCATCAAAATGGGGACTGTCTCACTTAGCCAGGTTGTTCACCATCCAGAACAAATCTGTTGCTTGTGATTTTGGAGATGCCACAGTTCCACAGCATAAGAATTCAAAAATATCTTTATAATTCATAGATTTTAAGTTCAGATGGAACTATTATAATCATTTAGTTTGACTTCCTGCATTACACAGGCTATAGAATGTCACCTAATAATTCCTGCTATCCAGGGTGGATAAAAATCAATGATTTTTTTTTAAATCAGATTTGATTTAAATCGGATTTTTTTATAAAATGCTTTTTGAGAAAAAAACCTAGCTAAAGGTAGTTTTAAGTAAGATACGTTATAGCTCAAAGATATCTCATCATGGAATAGGGATTATAAATTCTAATTCTATAGTATGAGACAATATATTCATGTAATGTTTAAGAAAAGTTTTGTAACTGAGTTCTAATAGGTCATGGATTAGGGACCCAATTTTACGGGGTCCCAGGGGCTTCTATACAGATTATTTAGGTTAATCTTTCTATCTATCCAATGGGACTCAGTGCTCAGTCTAGAAGATACCATCAGAGATGCTTAGTTTTGCAGTTCTCAAACTGTGGATTTGTGTCTCCAGAGATAACATTCTTGTTAACAGCAAAAATGTTTTAAAATAAATAAATAATATATAGAGGTGAGAAATAAGAGACCTCACCCTATTGTCCCTCTGCAAATTTGTGTACACAGAGTTAATCCCTTACCACCTTCTTTAAACTGCAAAGTTTCAAAAAGTTCAATGATTGTTGGGGGCGGAATAGATCTAGACAAGGAGAAGAAGTCTGGAGATAAATGTGAGAAGGGAGGGACAGGCTGTAGAAACAAAAGTGAAACTGTTTGAGCAGCATATTCCAGAAGTCTTGAGGTCTTTCTGAGTGTAGCCTTCATTGATTTGAGATCTACCATACCATTCTCTCCCTAGAAGGGAAAACCTATAATGGCAGCAGGCAATAAGAGAGACCTAGTTTGGGAATATTTTAATGAAGTTCCTCTACCTGTGGGTAAGACAGTCATGCGTGCAAAATGCAAACAGTGCAACAAAGAAATGCAAGGCCTGGTTGCCCGAATGAAACAACATCATGAGAAGTGTTCCTTCTCAGGAGGAAGCTAGGTTGAAGATGATGAAAGGAACATGTCTGAACATGCAGGATCTTCAGGTTGGTAAACTTTTTGATTTCATACTTCTTTCTTAAGGACTGCGTGTCTTCCTTCTGGACTATTCTTGAATTCTCTTGTTTCAGCAAAGAATATAGTTGTTACTCTATGGTATTATCATTTTAGATGCAGTTGGAATAAAAAATAGAGCTAAAATAGGCAGATCTTCCTTTTACAATTTCACCTTTAAAAGTAGTACTGAGTGTCAGTGAATGCAATGAGTAATACTAAATGAGCAGTATGGTAACAATAATTAAATAACTGCATTGACTTATTTTGTTTAGGAGAATCCATCTTCAACATACAGGATTCTGAAGACTATCCACCTTCAAGATCACCATCATTTTCTATAGTTTCAGAGTTATCTGCCAATGATAGTGTTTCAGTCACATCATATATGTCACACAGCCACAGTATATCATGTGTAGCAAAAAGAAAAAAAACCCATCATCCAGAAACAACCATAGATAAGTTTGTGATAAGAACCAGCAGATTACAGAAAAAGGTAATTGTTGAAAAAATTGCTCAGTTTGTTTATGCAACAAACTTTCCTTTCTGTATGATTGAGAACCCACACTTCATTAACATGGTTCAGTCATTAAGACCAGGATACAGTCCACCCAACAGAGCACATGTCGCAGGCAAATTGCTGGATAAAATGTCTGAAAGAGAAATTGAGCAGTGTGCAAAAGGTCTAGAGTGTGAAATTGTTAACCTGAGCCTTGATGGGTGGAGCAATGTCCACAATGATCATGTTGTATGTGCTTGTGTGACAACAGAAGAAGGGGGTGTCTTCCTTACAGAAACAATTGATACATCAGGAAATGCACACACAGCAGAATATTTACAAGAAGTAGC